CTGCTGCATAAATTAGTCTGCTCTGGAGCCATCCTTCCTGAGCTAAGTCAAAAATGTGTGAGCTGGAGGCTAAAAAACTGTGAGCTAGCTCACACTTACTCAGCTTAGATGGAACACTGCCTGTGAGGTAGGTGGGGCTGAGAGAGCTCTTTCATGAACTGCCCTTTCAAGGACAGCTCTGACAGAACTATGGCTTGCCCAAGGTCATCCCGCAGCTGCAGGTGGAGGAGTGGGGAATCAAACCCAGTTCTCCCAGATTAGAGTCCACACACTTAACCACTACACCAAACTGGCTCTCATTAAGATGTATAACTACAGCTAAGATTGGAATAACACAGTTGGTAAGGTCCGTGAATAGCAGCAAATTAGCATACAGCTATTAAAAGAGTTAACAACAGATGGGAGAACTAAGTTTGAGTCCAGTGGCACCTTTAAGATCAACGAAATTGAATTCTGGGTATAAGGGAGAAGTCAGTGACTTAGCATCTCTACCTATATGTAAGGCTTGAGAAAAATGGTTTCTATGTATCTGATGAAGTGTGCATACACAAGATAGCTTATACCCAGAAATCAACTTTGTTGCTCTTAAAGGTGCCACTGGACTCAAACTTTGTTCTACAGAAAAGAGGAGTTAGACTGGAATCCAGTAGCACCTTGGAGACCGACAAGGTTGGGGTAGGGTAAGCTTTCGAGAGTCAAAACACCCTTGGTGCTACCGCTCCCTGTAAAACTGCCCAGCAAAGCATTTGAGATGGAACTTCATTCAAAACAGATGATCCACTGAAGGAACTCAGCTCAAGTGCAAATGAGGAGGACAGGGTAAAAGCCGGAACAGCCCAGAAAAGGCCAGAATGGGCATTAAACAAATAATAGTACTGCAAAAAACAGTGGAGATGCATTAAAGGTGCTCCACAACAATATTTTGGAAATAAATCAAAACACAGAAATATTGTGCATTTATTAACCCTTTCCAGGCCAACATGCACCCAGAACTCCATGGAACAGGCCGAAACAGGCATTAAACAAATAATTGTTGTTGGTCAGTCGCACAGTCGAGTCCGACTCTTCACGACCCCATGGACCAGCTCCCGCCAGGCCCTCCTGTCTTCCGCTGTCCTTTGAAGTTTGCTCAATTTCATGTTCGTTGCATCAATGACACTGTCAAACCATCTCATCCTTTGCCGTCCCCGTCTTCTTTGACCTAAACAAATAATAGTACTGCAAATAACAGTGGGGTTGCATTAAAGGCACTCCAGAACAATATTTTGGAAAGCAAAGTGCAGAAATATTGTACATTTATTTACCCATTCCAGGCCAAAATTCCTCCAGAAAACCATGGAATGGGCCGGAACATCCATTAAACAAACAATAGTCCTGCAAAAAACAGTGAGATGCCTTACAGACACTTGAGAACAATATTTTAGGGGGGGAAATGCAGAATTCTCACACTTTTATTAACCCTTTCCAGGCCAAAATGTGTCCAGAACACCCTGGAAAAGGCACTAAACAAACAATAGTACCACAAACAACATTGGGATATGTTATGGACACTCGAGAACAATATTTTAGAAAAGAAAATATGAGACCTTTACACTTTTATTAAGCCTTTCCCAGCCAAGATGCCTCCGCAACACTCCAAAACGGGCCTTGAACAAACAATAGTTCTGCAAAAAAAACCCCCAACAACAGTGGGATGCATTACAGACACTCAAAGAGAATATTTTTGAAATGAAAACATTGAAATGACACACTTTTATTCACCCTTTCTCAGCTAAATGGCTTCGGAACAGCATGGAACAAGCCTGAACTGGCATTAAACAAAGTGATGAAGAAAACAGTGGTGTATAGGTTAAGGTAAAGGTTTCCCTTGCTCGAAAGCCAGTCGAATCCGACTCTAGGGCTGCGGTGCTCATCTTCAATTCCAAGCCGAAGAGCCAGCGCAGTCTGAAGACGTTTCCGTGGTCATGTGGCTGGCATGACTAAACACCAAGGCGCACAGAACGCTGTTACCTTCCCACTGAAGTGGTCCCTATTTATCTACTTGCAATTTCTTGCTTTCGAACTGCTAGGTTGGCAGGAGCTGGAACCAGAGACGGGAGCTCACTCCGTCATGCGGGACTCGGGTCTCGAACTGCTGAACTACCGACCTTCCACAGCCTGCAGTTAGATAACAAATGTTGGAATAGTTTCTAAAAAAACATTAACAATAAACTTGGATCAACTGCTGAATTAGAGGAAGGTGGATACAGCTTAATTACAAAACAGAGCGTATCCACCACTGATAAGTCAATTATGGTATTGTAAAGATTCCATTAAAACAAAGCAAGGAAATAATCGGTGACTAGAATGAGGCATTTTCTTTGAGCATAAAATTTAAAGAACATTCAACAAAAATAGATTGATAAAGAGGATTTTCAATGATTTGAAGTTGGTCTGAAATCTTAACTGTACCAAAGTAATCCCACAACTTTCTGTACAATATTTTAGAAATGAAAGCACTGAAATTTCACTCTTTTATTCCTAGGGTTGCCAGTTCTGGGTTGGGAAATTCCTGGAGATGTGGGAATGGAGTTTCTGGAGAGGAGGGACCTTAGCAGGGTATCCTACCATGGAATCCATCCTCCAAAGCTGCCCCTTTCTCCAGGGAAACTAATCTCTGTCATCTGGAGATAATCAGAAGTACTCCCTAGATATCTCCAGCTATCACCTGGTGGCTGGCCACCCTATTTATTAACCCCTTTCCAGCAAAGGTAATTCAGCATGGCATTTCAGCCAGCCCCTACACCATATAGGAAAACAAACTGGAAATTTTCTAACAAAACACTTGCGTGCAGGGCAGAAATGGTAGTCTAATAGAAAGAAGCTCCCAAAGGGTACAGGAAGAGAATGAGGAGTCAGAAAGAAGCTCCCAGGTTAGACAAGAGAGGCATCCCATTAATTAAGAAGATAACACATATACACATATACAGTAATGTAGCAATCCCCCCCTTACTCCAACAAATAATGTGACATTTCACCTTTTACATTTCTAAAATATTGTTCTTGAGTGTCTGTAATGCATCCCATTGTTTTTAAAAGAACTTTTGTTTGTTGAATGCCCATTCTGGCCTATTCCGGAGTGTACTGAAGGCATTTTGGCCTGGAAAGGATTAATAAAAGTATGAGAGTTCCAGATTTTCATTTCTAAAATATTGTTTTTTAGTGTCTGTAATGCATCCCACTGTTTTTTATGGAACGATTGTTTAATGCCCGTTCCGGCTTTTACCATGTCCCCAAACTGGAAGAGTCTGATGCTAGCAAGTTTGACCAGTGACTGTGTTAATCTCAGCATCCTTTCAGAGCTGCCAGAAAGAGTTGCCACCTCTGGGTTAAGAAATTCCTGGAGATTTGAGGGTGGAGCCTGGAAATGGTGGGGTTTGGGGAGGGGGGGGAACCTCAGCAGGGTATGAATGCCTTAAGAGTTCACACTCCAAAGCAACCGTTTTCTCCAGAGTAGTTTACCTCTATCACCTCGAAATCAGTTATACTGCTGGGAGAACTCCAGGCTGCCACTGGAGGTTGGCAACCTAATAAACAAACCGTCGTCAGTTTCTTAAACATTGGCGAGGATGCCATGAGCGCTTCTGAGCATGGCGAAGGGCAGCCTCTAACTAGGGATCATGCCAGCTTCCAGGTGGGACCTGGGGAGCCACCAGAATTACATCTCATCTCCAGACATCAGCTCCCCTGGAGAAAATGGCTGCTTTGGAGGATGAACTCTATGTCATTGTGCCCCAGTCTTCCCCAGGCTCCATCCCCAAATCTCCAGAAATTTCCCAACCTGGAGATAGCATATCTACCCTCCACTCACTCTCTGCCAGTGACCCTACATCCCTTTCTTGCCTCCCGCCCCCACCACCATGCCATTCCATCCCCGTGGTTTTTCCTCTCCGCTGTTTCCCCGCATATGGAGACTTCTGAGCACACCAACCGGGGTCCGGAAGTCGCGCTCGCCACCCGCTCAGCCTCTCGCCTCCCTCCCGGCTGCTTCCGCCCCCTCCCAGCCGACACATGCGTAGTAGGGCGGGGCAGGCAGGGAGGGTTGGCCGGCTGCTCGGGGCTGGTGGCTGGCGAAGCTGCGGCTCAGCGGGCGGCGCGCGTGTCTCCGGCGCTCTCGATGGCTGCTCGGCCCTTGCCCGCGGACCTGCTCACCCGGCAGCCTCTCCTCCTCGGCCAGGTGGAGGGCGCTCAGGACGTGGTGAGCATGGCCGCCATCGTGCCCAAGGAAGAGGGGCTCATCAGCGTCTCGGAGGACAGGTGAGGCGGGCGGGCGGGCGGAGCGCACCTGGCGGCGGCGGGAAGGGGCATGCAAAGTCTCGCGCCCTACCCGGCGCCAGCCTTGCGCAAAGTTTGGAGAGGCCCCGGGAGGGCTTGTGCAGCTGGCGGAGTTGCGCAAGTTGGCCGGCCGCTTGGCTCTGCTCTCGGCTTGGAGACTTGGCATGATCTCCGCTGCGTGGTGCGCAGCTCTTCCTCTCTGGCCAGTGCGCAAAGGATGCAGAGGGTGGAAACGCAGCCGCCGCTGGTGAATTCGACTGCACGCACACCAGACCCTCTGCCTGCCTGGGGTGCTGCTTATTCTGGGGATTCAGGGCAATGCTGGGAA